CCGGCGCGCCAACGTTGCCAATGCACCGGCCCTCATAGCCGACTTCCACCGGAAGAACCCGAACGCCCCTCGCCGCCTCAATGCCGCTGTCTTTGGTGGTCTCAACTTCCAGCCAATGCCTTCGCCGCTGACTGAAGCACGCTGCCGCTCCGGATGGGAGATGGGCAAGGGCGCCTCGCATGAGGTCATGCGCCGTTGAGGGGGGGGTAATGTCACGAGTTGGTACGGCGCCTAGCCGTTTTTAATTTTTCCTTTTCGCGGGCTCGAACCCGCGACCTCTGTACTACCTGCCTGATATGGACACGTCGTTATCTACTGTACGATTAGATTAGATAGGACGGCAGTGCACGGCACAGCCCGGGCCCCGCTGATGCAGCCGCTCTGACTCACCGGCCCCCGGGGCCGCGTCGGCATGCTGTGCACAGACCAGCTGCGCACGGACCAACGCGCACAGCCTGCCCTAAATCTTCCCATGTATATAAACCAGCCTCTGCTGCCCTAGGGACCTCAGTTTCGACCTCTTGTCCCTAGGTCAGTAAGCTCTCCTGTACTTACTTCTTTTACTTACTAACTAATACATTCTTGTCCCTAGCCTTAGGTTTGAGCATAGCTCACCATCGCTTCGGTGAGACTTAGTCGGACGCCCCCAGCCTTCAAGTTTTCTCTAGTCGCTTGACCTCAAGTCGCGACACAAACCGCATGAGCAACTACATATTACATGAGAGAACATATGTGAAGAAGAACGAGCATATCTGTGACATAGGTAAGGTCCGAGATAGGCATGAGAAAACAAAAGACATATATGGTAACTAAATAGAGATAGGGTTTCGTGGTCCGAAGTAATGCATCCGAAATGAAAGAACCGTAACACGTCACGACTGCAGGGCTGGATTGACTAACACGTTGAGAGAGCGCAGATGTCGAACCGCGAGGTTAATTGCAAAAACAAAGAGCATCGATCGCGGACTCATGAGAGGTTTGATAATAGTCAGAGAGCGACAGCACGCAAGGAGACTCGATAGCGGAAGTGTGTTTAGGCGCCCGCCAGACGGCCATCGAGATCGGGCGCCTACAACACGTCATCGCTGTGGTCGTTCTCTGTGGCACAGTCCAGCACACCATCAGACGCGAGACTCCCAGAGACGACTTTACAAAGCGATGTCTAGTGGATGGCTGGAAGTTCCTTGATGGTAAGCACCGTCACAGACGCCAATGAGGCGGCCATCGAGAGAAGGCGCTTACAGTGTTTTACGGTCAACGTCATGTCCAAGGTTGATGACGATGGCACGTCCTCTTGTCACTCGATCATCAAATGAGCTTGGATAAGCCCCTTATCTGCAGTCGGAGGTTGCAATCGGCACCTTAGAAAGCTCGCTGGTGAATACATGACACGGGTTACTACTGACGCTTAGGAATTGACCACGTTATTCTATGGTCTTTCCCAGTATAAGTTGATTTCCTTCGCGTGATATACGTTCCCTGTCCCTCGGAAATGTTCACGCCAAACGAGCCTATGTGACTGTTACTTTGAAAGAGGTGAGCTGTGCTCCCTAGACTCGCCGTTGACTCACGGTACATGATACGTAAATGCAATCCAACAGCGCTGTGATCCCCCCACTCACGTCTATTGTACACAAGTCATGCTCTCCGCGATGGTCTCTTTTCCACGATCACATTGAACGGCGTATCTTGAGGGAGCGCTCGGACCAGGTACGTCATGTAGCATGTATCAAGATATCGCCTTCTCATGGGCACTCCTACAGCTCGTCCCACCGGGTCCAACAGCATCTGAAGACAGATCATAGGCGAGTGTTTCAAGGGATGTCGATATGTGTCCCACTCCATTTTTGATGATGTCTAACTACATACAACACGAACGAAACTTGGTAGTAATATGCGGGATAAGGCAGGTCTCTCAATGAATAAACGATATCACATTACGACCTCGTGAAAGTGTACATACTGTCTGCAGCCTAATTCGAGGGCCGTAAGCTACACACGAACCGCGGACCAGCCGTCTCAGGACATCCGCAGTTGAGCGTCAGTTACGCGAGCGGCCTCAATTGAACGAGGAAAGCGAAACTCAAGGATGCAGAATTTGTGCTAGGAGTTGACAGCGACCCAAGGTGGATTGACATTGGGAGGTGACGTATTGCGAAGCGCACTCAAGGGGAGGGCGAGCTTAGACGCTCGTGAGGCGGCCATCGAAATTGGCGCCTACATCATCGCTCTGGCAGTTCTCTGCGTTGTATGAGAGTGTATGACGTGCGCAGACGCAGCTCTTCCCCATGCAATCCGAGAAGTGTCACTGCATTTTGCTGCTTGCTGCACGCGTTATACGAGCCCGTCATTCCCGGTCCTATGCTCGATCATCTGCCTCCCGCGTATCCTTCGTGAAGATCACGAATGGGCTCAATCCCAGAGACGCCTCCCATTGCGCCTGGGAAGCTCGCTGGTCAATACATGAAACAAGTTTTCACTGATGCTCTGGAATTCACCACATTAATCCATGGTCTTTCCCGGTATCTTGATCGGCTTCGCGTAGTATGCGCTCCCTGTCCCTCACGTCAAACGACTATTGTGTCCGTCTTATCTTCGCGAGGCGAGCTGTAGTTCCTAGGCCCGTCTCTGGCTCACGGTGGCTGATATAGTATATGCCATCTGAAAGCGTTGTAGATCCTCTGCTTCCATCCATCGTGCCCGCGTCACGCGCTCCACCGTAGTCTCTCGTGGACAATGGCGTTCAGCAACATATCGTAAGGGAGCATTCGGACGAGGTCAATGCTGTCGTATGTGGCAACACATCTTCCCTCTTTGGCCACCATTACAGCTCTTCCTGTCGGCCCCGACACAAGTCCATGTCTGACGCTGTCGAACTAACCACAACACAGATGTTTTTAGTCCGCAGCATTTTGGAGCACCACACGGCATGATGCAGGTCTTTCAAGGAGCAGTGAAGATAATACTGTGAGCCCGCGAATGTGTACATACTGCTTTCAGCCTAATGCGGACACCCAAGTCGCCAAGCAACGCGATCATGTGCACCCCCGCGTCCTCCAACCTACGATGCCTACTGCATCGGAGTGTCGCCGACCACCTCTGGATGCTCCCTCGGTGCTTCATCGACGTCTTGCGGCGCCGGTGCGGGGTTGACAGTTACCCCAGCGACAGGTTCATTGCGAATTCTGAATATCACGTCAGGGCTGAGTACAGCAAACAGAATGAGGCACATACGAGCCGGCAGAGTAGCCAACAGTACTGCGTATTGTTTTCATTCCGTCTCTGATGTAAATTCCCAAATATCCGTTTTCGGGGAATCGCGATGCACAGCGTTCCAGCGCATTGACGACTTCGCGAGTAAAGAGTTGGCCATTGCGAGCCGACTGTGCGGTATCCACTTGCGAGAGCTCGACACATACATCGAGGAGGATCGAGAATTTCCCCCAAGTGTACGCCTGGGTCACCTCCTCTATGCCAGACGAGCTGAAGTACTCGACAACGACGTCCAGCGTGCCACGAACATTGCTATGAACACGCCCAAAGTCGTCAGGCGGGAGTCGTGCCGAGTGCCGAAGTGCTGAACATGCGATCCAGAGGAATCGCCCAGTGCTGAGCCGCTCGCGGGCGTGTGGTAGGAATGTGAGCAGTCTCCGGGTGTCTGCAGAGTACGTGGTGAGTGCTGGGTGGACGACTTCCGGATGGGATGGGATACCTACCCTCGATGTCTAGTCGATATTGTCCACCACAGCTCGCGATGATGTCTACAAGCATGTCTTGGACTACATGGGGTAGCTCCGGAGTAGGTAATAGGCGAATGAGCCGTGAATGCACGGCGGACTCAGCCCGTGGAATCGCTCTCAGTAGACACCGTAGAATGTTGTCAAAGCGCTTCACATGAGCTTTTGGCGTGTCATCAGCCAGAAGCAGCGTCTCAGGGATCTGAGAGAGCACATCGACGGATATCTGAACTAATGTCTCGATTGTCCCGCTGTCCTGCTCACTGCTGTCCCAGGTGAGCCATGGAGGGGATTGCGAGCGATCAATGTGATGGGCACGATGTTCCATGATGTCGTAGTAGGCAGAGAGAGTATCCTCAATGTCTTCCAGTTTCTGCTGTTGAATGCAAGGCCTGACAACCTTCTCGAGGAAGGAGACATCGGTCACGATTGCATCTGCATCTGCAAGCATCGCAAGCTGAGCGGAGTGTTCGCACCCATTTGAAGGACGTACAGAGCGATTATCGAAGTCTGTCCAATTGGATAGCTGATGCCATTCGTCCAGTGTGCCACACATTGAATTTAGTCCATTCCAAACTGGGTAGGCAATATTCTCAAGAACTCCAGTGGTCTTCCAGTATACCCACCCAACAAACTTAGACATGGATCGCATCACCAGGAGGAGGGGTGTATGTAGGAGTCGGACAAAGCAGAGCCACCACCAGGCCTGTGGAGATTTGAATGGACAGGACGCAGCAATGACAGGGATGAGTGCAGTGACCAGCAGAGCGCCAACGAGAGCACCAACGAGGACAGTGGCTATCAAAGCAATTGTTCTATCCCAGATTCACAGCTGCTCGATCAGCCCGACCAAGAAAAGAGCCATGGCGCTTTGCAGCATGAATGGGAGGACATTGATGATTGATTTGACATGCCAAGTCTTGAATCCACAATAGCGGAAGTACCACAGCCGGGCGCTCTGACGATCGAGCGACGCACCACGATTGACGTGATGATGCAGCCATTGGCTGACGATGATGGCTATTGCGCCGGACACCAAGCTGAGGATAAGAGCGATCGTCCAAAGTATACCGGTCAACAGTGGTCGTCCAGCTGGTGCTGCAGACGGTGGGAGGATGGGAGATGGGAGCTGCTGCGTGAGATTGGTATGGCCGACACTCAGCGCGATGACGTTCAGCTGCATCGCAATGAGCGCGAGGGCCTGCACGGTTGGATCGACGGCTTGAGCTTGGAATCCGTAGAATGGTACAATAAAGCCTGTCAGTGCTGTCGAGAAGAGGCCCGCCTGAGGTGGGAAGCTACTCAGAGCGGCCAATGAATGAAAGGAACGTGACGGCGTACATATAGAAGAAGGTAGTTTATGTCGTCCTTCCAACGCTCCATTCGCTTGTCTTCAAATGTCCAGACCTCCTCCGCAAACCTCGCCCACCCTGTCAGCTCCTCTTTCTCCGCTGGTTTCGCATAGGCACGACCACCGTCCGCGTTCAGCATGACCTTGAAGTCATTGGGCTGAACGCGGCCTTGCTCGTCTGTCGTGTACGGTAGACGACCGTCGTCGAGATCTTTGCGTCGTCCCTCGTGGTCTCCGGTAGTCGTGTCTTGGTTCCCATTTGTATCAGGTCGCTGATGTCCGCAAATGAGCATTTAGAGTTGCTATTATTATCACATGTAGGCGTACCAAAGTCGATGTTCCAGGACACTCTCCCTGGGGCTGCGTGGGGGGCGTGTCGTTATCCTTCGCTCTTGTCGCAACATGTATCTGGTTACACTGGTGTCAGTACATGTATCTGGTACTAGTGTAATGGCACTTACAAATGAATTCCCCTCCGTCTGTTGCTCAATTTGCTGTGCAGGCGCTGGCCCGTTGGTGATCTAAAAATTCCTCGTCAACGATTATCGTGTATACGACGAACGATATTACCTCTCTGCATACGCTTGTCCCCGTGCTCTTCGTGAAGGCTTGACCGTCATCTGGATCATTCATTTGCACCGGTGGGAGCTGGCCATTTTCAACCTGCTAAACGGGAGTCACTACTAGTCTTCGTCATGGAACCCAGTAGTTTACCTCACGACCAGAGCTGTCAGATGCTGCCTGAGCATTACTCGAACTTCCCTGAGAGTGTTCAAGCTCTGATGAGGGAGCCGCAGCTTCCTCGCGGGTCTCCCCGTTGTCTTCAGCACTATATGGGGTATCGGACTTACTGCGCTGGTCCTTCACGGACGCAGTGGCTGGTTCATTGACTGAGGCTACATCCTCAGTGGTAGGCGCCACGCTGAGTCGCGAGGAGGATCGACTGCTCTTTCGTCGGGCCATCGAGGGCGAATGAAGCTGCTAGGGCGGGTGAGTAGGGAGTGAAGGACTAGGGACGACGTATGCTGTCCTGCCAGGGACAGGGAAGCCATATGGAGAGCACGAGGCTGCGGACCACATAAGAGATTAATGCATGGAAGGTGGTTCTGCGGTCAAACTCTATGCACGCAATAAACGCCCTCAAGTCTCCTTTGTGCAGGGCGTATATAATATCCTTATGCGATCGAGCACTTAGAGGACATGAAAACTGCCAATTAGTCACAAAGCAGTCATGAATCACAAGGTTCACAACTGGGGAGCCCACAACTCATCAACATTCAAGCTCTGATCGATATCTCGACGCCGCAAGCGAGCGCCTGACGTATAAGGTTTGATGTATGCCGTTCTCGTGTATGGCCTGATGTAAGGGCGTCTAACTGACCGGATATAAATGTAGATGGACGAGAGATTCGATGGACATTAACTCGCGCCAGTTGGTCAATCCACGCCCTGCATAGAGTTTTTTAGAATTGGCGAAATGCAAGCTGTGGCAAGGAGGAGGGAAAAAGGAAGGGGTAAACGCAATGCACGGGAATAGCTTGGATTGACACACCGCAGATAAGCGTGCCGGCAGCTTGTTGTGAAAGTACATGCGCACGGCACACGAAGGAGACGGCAGCGTGCGCGTGAGGAGCGAGCCACTGGGGCGTTTGTACCTTCTTTGGGCAATTACGCACTTGAAGCCAAGGACCATGTATAGACGTCTGTGACCAGAACGAAGCTGAAACACCAGATGATCAATCGCAAGCAAAAATGAGGACAGCAAGATTGCGGAAAGCAAGATTGTATCATTTTACTGTGGTGAAGCTGCAGATCAAAGTGCGGTTAGGTTGTCGCACGAGGCAGACTGCAATATGTACACCTGACTGATTGGTTCCCTGCTATCAGAACAGCCGCAATACAACGACTGGCCGCGTGCCGTCACATGCGATATGCCTGAGTGCGATCGTATTTAAGCGGAAGATCCGGCGACTCGTCGCGCGGTGATCTCGCGCTCGGCGTCTGCCGTTGCACACAATGCTTCACCGTGATGTGGGCCTTATTACGCATGTGCGGGCCTCATTCACTCAGAGACCCTGACCAGTCGTGCTGTCACTGGCCCGCAGGTATTATTGAAACTCTCGATGTGAGGTGACAGGCGTGCTCCAAGAGCACGGAGTACTTATTGTCGAACTATGTGCTCGCTCAAAGGCGTAGGTCGAGATGAGCAGCCTTACAGCACCGGAGGATATGCTCCAAGAGCACGGAGTACTTATTGTCGAACTATGTGCTCGCTCAAAGGCGTAGGTCGAGATGAGCAGCCTTACAGCACCGGAGGATATGCTCTTACAGGAAAACGAACAATGGACAAGATTTGAAGGGGACAGCTCAGAACTCAGCGCCTTTTACAATAATAGAGTAGAACCAAAGACGCACCACACTATCCTGACACCTCGCTCTCCATACCGCGCCTACTCCACTCGACACGCAGGCGAGCCGCGAGGGCGATGAACTTCCTCAGCGTAGGCCGAGAGAAACCGGGCTTGAGTCAGGATATCCATCATAGCGTTTCTCAGAGACCAATTATACTGGTAGCGCAGTACGGAAGGCGGCGCCAGACACAAGCGGTCTTTGATGAGTGCGAATGTGCGTGAGATCGCGGGCAGCCTGAAAAAGGCCCTTTTGCCAGAGCGGTGTGGGAAAGGACTAGAATTCGAACTGATAGTCATGTCCATGTCGTTGTGTCAGACGCGTGCGTAACTGCGACAGAAGCGGTGAGCCAGAGCGAAACGCATGCAGAGAAATTGTGATCGCCGACGACAAGCAACACCCTGCTCAAGCACTGGTGAGGCTGCGAATCCCTGCGATCGAGATGGGGCACTTGTTGCACGCTTGACGTCACCGCCCTTTGCCTGTGCGCATAAGCTGATTACCGTTGAGAAGAGTACCGGAAACGTCGAGCGTCGGGGCCTGGCACTCATGTGTCCTCTACTTGATATATGTCCGCTCCGACTCAGATAACTTGCTATGACGCCAAACTCGTCTATGTCCCGCACCTGTGATGGAAGCCTAGCCCGTATTGCACGAACAAGGTGTGCAGTAGATCTCATAGTGTTGCCTCATCGCAACGAGCGAGTACGCTGGTGGTGCGGCAGAATTACATTCGAGATCCACAGACAGCACTGCAATCGTTGTGCTCGAATAGGGAGTGGCGGCACAGGTAGTGGTCGTATGGCAATGTATCTGGACGTACATGAATACAGGAACTCTCGAACGCAATGTAGTATTTAACGCTGATACGACCTACGAAACCCTAACCCCTAACCTGGGTGCGACCTAAAGGGACTAGAGAGACGGCTTATAGTCTAATGAGAGGGGAGTTAGCAGCAAGGTGTCCCGCGGTTCGAGTGAACACGAGAAACGCCTTCGAAAAAGGCTACGAACGCTAGGGAAGGTACGAGGTGGCTTCGACACGTCGTCGAAGCTACTCGGAGGCTGTGGAAAGTTAGCGACGATCGAAGCTCGGTGTCACGACTTGGTACGGCGTCTAGCCGTTTTTTAATTTTTTCCTTTTCGCGGGCTCGAACCCGCGACCTCTGTACTACTTGCCTGATACGGACGCATCATATCTACTGTACAATTAGATTAGATAGGACGGCAGTGCGCAGCACAGCTCGGGCTCCGCTGACACAGCCGCTCTGACTCACCGGCCCCCGGGGCCGCGTCGGCATGCTGTGCACGGACCAGCTGCGCACGGACCAGCGCGCACAGCCTCCCCTAAACTTCCCCTGTATATAAACCTGCCTCTGCTGCCCTAGGGACCTCAGTTTCGACCTCTTGTCCCTAGGTCAGTAAGCCCCTGTACTTACTTACTTATTCAATACTAACTTACTTGTCCCTAGCCTTAGGTTTGAGCCTCGCTCGCCATCGCTTCGGTGAGAATCAGTCGGACGCCCCCAGCCTTCAAGTTTTCTCCAGTCGCTTGACCTCAAGTCGCGACATTAGGTCGAAACTCCCCAAGCTGCCGGCGTCCCCTCGGGACTCCCTATATTCACTTTCCTTTCCCACAGGTCGGGTGGTGCGCACCCCTACGATACTTCACGGTACATACGATACGTAGATAGCTTTACTATACATCGCCAACCCTCGGGGAACGAACTCTTCAACACCTGCACTTCAGTGGGCGGTGTTTGTCCTCACGGACGCGTGGACTAGGTTCCTGCTGCATAATAGT